CCCTCCCCCTCCCCCTCCCCTTTTCCATTGTTGCCTTCTGCAGGGCTGGTTGTGGCAGCAGGGAATGGAGGAACAGGTCTGCGCATGGTCCTGCCCTCCCCCTGCTGCCGTGGCAGGGAACAGGGGACCAGTCCCGGACCCCAAGCGGAAGGGGGTGTGGGCCCAGGCCCAGCACAAGGAGGGGTTGGGAGAGGAGCAGGTACACCATGGCTGGGGGGGCAGAAGTGGTCCCGGGCCGATGCGGTGAAAGTGTGGGGAGGGGAGGAGTTGGTTTGGGCCCAGTTAGGGAGGCAGAGGAGAAATGAGCATGAGCCGGAAGAGAAGTGGGTCCGCCACAGCATTGGGGGTGGGGGGAGCAGCGGGCCCTGCCTGATGCTGTCCAATGCAGCAGTGGCTGGGGGAGGGGAGGGGAGGAGCGAACCTCCTCCTCCCGTCAGGCTTGGGACCACTCCTTCCCTCTCCCCTCCTCCCCCCCAGGCCCACTCCTCCCCCACATTGGCTCTGAGCCTGCTCCTCCCATTCCCCTGTCACTGCTGGGGCGGCCCGGGCCCGCTGCTCCTCCCACCATGGCGGGCCAGTTTGTTCCCACCTTCAGCCCAGTCCTGTCCCGCATCAGACCCAGGCCCTCTCCTCCCCTCCCCGCACCGCTGCGGTGGGGAGATGGGGAGTGGGCCTGGACCCCAAGCAGCAGGAGGTAAAGGGGGAGTGGGCCTGGATGGGTGGGGGGCACAGAGCTTCATCCCCGCCCGCTCCCTCCTGCCATTCTTGATGGGCAATTGGCTAGTCTTTTTTATAACAACACGCTTTTGTAATTGAAGACTGTTATCAAGTACTCCCTCAGTTGTCTCTTCTCCAGACTAAATATCCTCAGTTCTTCCAACCTTGCCTCATGTCATGTTTACTGAAGTTCTAATCATTTTAATAAAACTGGGGATTCATCAGTTAGAAAAAAAACTGAGGAGAAGAAAGGCAAAGGTGTATTAGCCAGTCACAGGATGACTTAGCCACCAATGTCATGTAGTTATGAAAAAGTTAAATGTGATGATAAGATGTAACAGGTCATATCTTTAACTGAGATGGGGAAGCAAAAATAATGTTGGATGTCATTTGGAAAGCATGCAATTCTGGTCATCCATTTTCAGTCAAAAAAATTCAGTTGGGAGCAGATGCAAAGAAGGGCTGCTAGGATTAACCCTTTCAAGCTGCATGCAGCCCACAGGTCACCAGTTGGACAGCCCTCGTTTATCCTAAAAATGGAGGCTGAAAGGGTCTATGATTGCTGTCTAGAAATATATTTTGGACAGGGGGTTAACAGCAGAGAGGGAACAGAACCATGAAGCAAAAAGACAACATCACAAGAACAAATGGGTATAATATAGGCATGAATTAAATTTAGGCTGGAAATTAGAAGGTTTCTAATTACCAGAGCAGTGGAGTTATGGGACTGCATTCCAATAGGAATAGTGGGGGCAGAAAACCTAACAGATTTTAAGGTGGCACTTAATACATTTTTGACAGGGATGGATTTCATGATCCCTTCCCTGATGCTCAGAGAATTAACCTTAGGTGTCAAGAGACTGAATTTATCGATGGGTCAATACTGAAATTTTCTAATGCATCATGACTGCACAGAACTGAAGGCTATTTCACATGTAGGTGTGTGATACAAGTGCTGAATTTGTTCATTACAGTGAATAAACCAAAAATGATTCATGCTCACCTGAGGCAGCCAAGGTCATTATGCAGGCACAGGCGTTACACTGGACAGTGAAATCCTCCAACTCAAGAAGCTCCAGAATTGGCTCGAGTAAACCCATTTGAACAACTAGGTCTCTGTTTACTATTCACAAATAAATACAACAGTGAATAGCTAATACATCCTAGCCATGCAAAAAGTATACTTTGGAGTTAATATCACAATGCAAAATGTATCTTGCATTCAACAACATGCATATGGCTAGAATGACTTAATTCAAGAACTTCGCAGAGTAATTTTTTAGTTTTTCTTGCTATTTAACTATATATAATCCTGTTGTTGTAGATTATAGATTCTAATTAAACCTGATACTTCTTATTACTCATCTTATTTTTATAGTATATCCCCAAAGAATAAGGGGTTACATTCTTTTTTGAAGCTCTCTTATGGTGGAAAGTCTACTGTGGCATAACCACCTAGAAGGATAACATGGACTGTTCCACCCTCTGGATGAAAGTTTTGTCTGCTGTCACAGGAAATAGGAAGACGTTTACTTGCAGTGTCATCTCAGAGGTCTATGGTCTTGGCAAGGTGAAGCCATTCTGTTAACCACAAAAATAATTCACCCTTACAAAAATAAATCACCCTTTTCTCTAAGTAATGTGAAACCTAGATCCAGTTATTTCAAAGTGACAAACAAGCACTGTATAAAAGTCAGATTCTAAACACTTTATTTGTTGTTGAAACAACAGCTGGAGGGATCTCAATTAGGCAATGAGAAGGCAGGGCCAGGTCAGCTACTCCAACTATATATCTAGTCTGGATGAAGAGAGATATCTACTTTTGCCAAGAAGAGGAGAGAATTGTGAATTACTTACTGTTTCCTTCCAGCAAAAAATTGACAAGAGACAAGGAAGACATCTGTTGAACCTCTACATCACTGGACTGTAGTAAAGCATAATAAGGTTCCAAATGTTCTTCAGGCAGCTGGCTGGTCACTGCATAAATTAAAGGAAATACATTCATTGTAGTGTCTCTTAGGCCTGAGAAGTGGCCTAAGATTAGGCCTGAGATGTGACCATAGTTAAGTACGGTGCTGTTCCACTTCATGCAGATTCCAGTGCCACTGACAGAGTCAGCTAATATCCTCGCTATTACTTTTAATAACTGGATACTTTACCTTTCAACACCTAGGAACCGAAGAAGCTCTTCTGCCCCCTGTCAGATTTTACTGTGTCCAGTCTTCAATGATAAGCACCTAAACTGTAATGAAATCAAGCCAAGTCTCTAAGCGTAGAAGTAATGCTGTTTAATCAAGAGGCTGCACAGGTTTAAACTAGAGGAAAAGCTGATTCATTTTCCAATGTACAAACCATTGAATGCTCACTGAGCACATCTACATGTGCTATTAATTCAAAGTAGGTTTGCTGCACAGTAAAAATACTGCTCAGTAAGCCTACAGGGGAGCATATCTACATGTGCTGCCTCTTAGGAGCAGCCCAATACTCTGCCTCCCTGCAGCAGCCAGCACCGCCCCCCATGCTAGCCCAGCCAGCGGCAGCTGTCTCCTGGCCACCTGAACATTAGGAGGGGACCTGATGTGCACAGACCCAGGAGAGAGCTGCCTCTGCAGTAGGCAGAGCTCTCCTGGCCCCATACACATTCAGACACACAGCTGCCAGCAATCCCCCTGCCAAGCAGGGCATTTGCTGGGAGCTGTTAGGGGTGTGGCGTAGCTGAGGGTAAGTCTCCTGCAGGGCAGGCAGGGCATGGGGCTTGCTGGCAGCTGCTCTGCTTGGCACAGAGCTGGCTGGTTCAGGGACAGTCGTAGGGACTGGCAATCCAGCCCTCACCTGCCCCCCAAAGCAGCCAGCTCTGCATGGATTCCCAGTACCCACTAACTCCTCAGAGCAGCCAACTCCACGTGGGGATCAGGGACAGGGGGCAGTGAGCTTTCCAGTCCTGGCCCTGATGAGCTCCTAGCTCCTGGGTGGAGCCAGGAAGCTGAGCAACCCCAGGACCATGGAAGGAGAGCTCCCTGACCCCTGTGGTTCCCTGCTGGCTAGGCTGACTGGGAGCACATTTTCTCCTAGCCAGTGTCTATACACATTTTATTGCATAGTATCTACTGCACAGTTCATTTACTACCTATATTTATAGGTAGTAGCTAACTGCACAGCAGATTAATTTACTGTGCAGTAAGTGTATGCACATGTAGACAGTGAAGCTTTACTGCACAGTAGACTAATCTACTGCACGGTAAAGTGTTTCATGTAGACACGCCCACTGTGTAGAAAAAATATTTGCCTACTGTTTTTCCCTCTGCTGTTCCCTCATTGCTTATAATTTCTGAATAGCTTCCCTCGCCATGCTTTCATAAGCACTACTCAAAAGTCAGGTTCCTTTCATATTCATGTACTGAGAATCCTCAGTGTGCAGCTTTGTGCCAGCAGTCCTCTGCTGCTTCTTGTTTCCTGTCCATGGGCCATCCCATCTGCTTCTGTGGGGCAAGTGTGGATTGTCTTGCTTCTGAATGTTCCCTACAGATTATGACATGCTGGGGTCCTAAACTATGTTAAGCTTAAGAGGCCCCATAGCATTACCAAAAAAGTGTATTATTTTAACAGAAAAGAGTCCCCTCATAATGTGAGGCCCTATGTCGCAGCTTACTTAGATTGCACCTAAATCAACCCCTGGTTCTCTATCATCTGGAAAGTGTCCTCTCATAGGGCTCCACAGTTCTAGCAGGATGTTTTCTCCACTCTCTCCCAGTGTGTTTGGCTGTGTAACTTCTGGGGGTTAAGCATACACACAGTTTCTAGTGACAACATGTAGTGATTTTTTACAGAAGTACCAGAGTTCTTTTAGGGGCACCATGATTTTCTCCTTATAACAAGAAACAGAATTGCACAGAATACCCTGCACATTTGAGGCTATGATGGCACTCTCATTTCAAATAATATGAAATTTGTTCAGGAGTTTAACAGTTTGGAAAAAGGTACTTTGGGGTCAGTTAAAATTATATGAAAATTTTCAAGTGCACTGAATAGGGATAACTTACAGTGTTGGCTCAGGTGTAAGTAATAGAGCGCAGCAGACTGTTGCAAGCCAGGGTTTTCTGAAAATGCTAACTTTCTCAGAGCCTCCAGACAGTTCTTTCCAAGCAGTGACATTTTAAAACCTGTACAGTGAAAGCACAAGGTAAAATACACCTGAAAGTTTTTAGTTTATTAGGAGTTTAAAAATCCCAGGAACGGACAGCAGCTGGAAATCCGAAACATAAATGTTAAGGTGTGCCATGCTGAAAGAAATTGATGTTCCATCTAATTTGGTATCTCCAACACTGTCCAGTACCAGTGATTTCAGAAGATTTGATAAATTCCATCATGTAGAATAACCTGCCCTGGAAAAGTCTTTTCTGGAGTATAGGCAGTTGGTGATAGCAAACACTTATTATCATGTCAAATTTATATGGAAAATATAGTTCATTTCATTCCTAATTGTTTCTTGAATTAGACTTGATGCTTGGTTAAATTTTATCTTGTAACAATTGGTTCCTTCAATTATTTATGCATTGTATGGAAGTGTTTATTTTTCTTATAACAGAAAAACTTACTGAACACATGAAGTTTTTTTTTTTAATTTCTCATTAAGTGCTGTGTTCTACTATCATGGGAAGAGATTGAGTGAAATGCAGACAGCCTGTAGACTTGCCTCAGTTTCAAATTCTCAGGGTGAATCTACCTGCCATTGAACAGGATAATTCCCCATATCAATAGAGTTCTTATTCTATAATAATTACCGTCAGTAATTTAAACCATTCCTGAAAAAAGACTAAAGTACAGTCTTATAATGCTGGAGTGGAGCAGAGGAGAGAAAAAGAAGCTATCTAATATGGCTATGTGAAGGTTTGGTAGCTGATCGATTCAGAGGAGATTCAGCCCAATTTGGTGGCCAAATCTCTGAATCTGAATTGAATTGGGAGACCAATTAAAAGGCCTGAATTGAATTGGAAGCCTCTGAATCAATTTGGAAAAGATTCAGCGCTGGTAGTGGAGCCTATGCCCTGCTGCTGCTTGCCCTCTTCCGCCCAGAGCAAGCCGCGCCTGCATCATGCCCCCCCGGCTGCCCTGGCTGGGC